CAGAACCCTAGGAGGAGAACTGTAGGCCTAAGAATTTCTGATAATGAGATGAGATTTCTGATATGAGATGAGCTCCTGGCCAAGGGTGTACAGAAGTCAAGGGAAAACAGCCAGAGTGGGCTGGTGCCCACTGGCCTAGGCTGTAGTTGTGCAAACACCTCTGGAAAATTGCCCACAGGCCTGCGGGACAAATACTAGTCTCAAGTTGCCTGAGCTGCTCTGAGTCTGAGTCTGCCAAAGTCTGAGAAGAGCTAGAAGCTCTTCCTGTTCCTCTCAGGAGTCTGTACTTCCGGCCCCCCTGTCTTGGTGGGGCATAAGTTCAAAAAGATTATAGGGTCTTGATTTTATTAGACCCCTTTACTGTGCAGAGAGGGAGACTGAAACACGGTGTGAGCATCCTAACAGTCAGCTCTTAACAATCAGGAGAGGCTTCTCAGAGAAAGGGTGGTGTATGCACATGGTTATGAGGACTGGAGCGAGCATTTAGGTAGCAAGGGCTGCGTGGCCAGACCTCTAATGTCAGCATTGAGGGTGAACTCAGTATGGAGGCCAGCTGTGCTGAACCTGGGCTGGGCGGGTAATATTTAAGATTTACCTTAGCGCTGGGCCACTGGTCTAAGTGTTTTGTCCCCACTTCCCCTCGTTCCTGTCTGGCTGCTGAGTTTGCTACTCTCTTGAGAGCCAGTGACGTTCTAAACCCAGCCTCTGGCAAGGACTCTGGAATCCACCCCTGAGGAAGGGAGGCGGCCAAGTGGGTGAAAGTTGAACCAAGCTTACAGCTATATTGAGCCCTCAGTTTCTGAAGTAGAAATCTGTTGACAAGCTCATTTAGCCAGCTAGAAACATGATTTCACTTCTTTGGAGTGTTTCAACTCTTTGGAAAGTTTTTCTGCCAGCTCCTGAATCAATGTTTATGGGACTAGGGAATTGCTCTGGAAAAGATCAAAACCTTAACTGCCATCCCAGCCTCAGAGGCTCATTGATAAAGCATAGACATTGGAGTCTGATAGAGCTAAGCTAGCCCTGGCCTAGCACTGGACATGCTGGGGAGAAGTGGTGTAGTTTACTCTAGTTCTTCTCAGGACATTTCGCCTGGCCCCTGTCCAAGATATGCCAGCCAAAGTTATGGCCATACCTGAATTTCATTAGAACGTCACAAAGACTAGGGCTGGGAGATCAGACGTCCGCTCCATTTAGTGCTACTGAGAACCAGAGAGAAGTGTAGAAGTGGGTCAGTAGGATCTAAGCTCAGGCCATTATTCCTTCCTCTGCATCCCACTTGCTGTCATTTTGAGAAAGTATCTCATTATCTGTACCCCAAGATCCCTGCAGTCCCTCCAGCTTTGATGATTCTGCTTCCACGTGGGATCACCTGGTCCCCAGGAAGGATATGGCTCCTAACAGGCACAGGTCATGTTGATTGTACCCCTAGAGCACACAGCAGGACCCAGCGAGCGATTCAAGGAAGCAGCCAGTGCACAGATGGGTCTCCCTGCGCTGGCCAGTTCCACCTCTGTCCAGCCTTTCTAGAATGTTAGGTTTTGGCATAAGAACTCTGATGAGGAAAGAACTAGTCAAGATGGGGTTTTTTTAGGCCCAACTGAAGTCGACAAAAGCAAATGCCGATGAGTGTATGTTCTCTCTCCCACACCCCTGCCCTACCCTGTACACTTAGAACCAAGCCCTGTCACATTCTGGTCCCTGAGGCTGGACCATCCAGATAAGACCTCTAAGGTCTCTGAGTCCACATGGGAATACCAAGAGGTTGGCTGAACCAATCAGCAAGTCAATGCTTCTGGTGTCTGTTCTCATTATGTTCTCCTTATATAGAGTGGCCTCCTAAATCTTCCCAATCAAAACAAGCCCACTACTGCTGAAACAGTCCATCAGCTGGGAGCTGCCAGAAAGTCAGGCTGGATTCAGAAGAGGCCATGGCATGAGGGATAGTGTTACTAATGCCATATGGATCTTGGCTGAAAGCAGAAAATACCAGAAGAATGTCTGTGTTTTATTGATTATGCAAAAGAGTCTGACTGGGTTGATCACATCAAGTTATGATTAACATTGAAAAAAAAAATGGAAATCCCAGAACACTTAATCATGCTCAGATGAAACCTAGGCCAAGAAGCTGTTGTCCCAGCAGAACAAGGGAATACTACATGATTTAAAATCAGGAAAGTTGTGGTCAGGGTATCCTTTCTCTATACCTATTCATTCTGTATACTGAGCAAATAATTTGAGAAGCTGGTTATATGAAGAAGAATGTGACATCAGGATTGGAGGAAAACTCATGGACTACTTGTGTTACACAGATAACTTTGCCTGCAGGAAGTGACGAAAACATGACACCCACCAAATTATGCAGCCCTGTGATTTCATCCCTGCCCATCTTCACTCTTCTACTCCCGACCCTTACCCCCTTGTGTCCCCATACATGTTTTTTACAATAAAATTATTAGAAAGAAGTCATTTCCATCACAAAAAAAAAACCCACAAAACTTGAAACACTTGCTGCAGAAGCTCAAAGACTACTCCTTCAGTATGGATTACTTCTCAACATCAAAAAAACAAAAATCCTTAGTACTGGACCAGTAGGCAACATCATGATAAATGAAAAAAAGATTGAAGTTGTCACCAACTGCATTTTATATGTTGTAGATCCACAGTCAACACCCATGGTGGCAGCAGTCAAGAAATTAGGGAGAAAACTGTAACAATGAATGACTAGAAACCCTAAGTCTCTGTAAAATTTAATTAAAATGAATAAGAAAAAATTAAAAGATGTGTTGCACCAGGGAAATCTGACAGGGACCTTTCCTAAGTGCTAAGGAACAGTGATGTCCATGTGAAGACCGAGGTGCACCTGTTCTAAGCCATGGTCTTTTTAATTACTACTTTTCTGAAACAGGGATAACAGAAGCAGAATTAATGCCTTTGAATTGCAGTGTTGGTGAAGAATACTACTGAATAATCCATGAACTGTAAAAAGAACAAACAAGTCTGTCTTAGAATATGTGCAACCGGGTTTCTCCTTAGAGGCAAATGTCACCTCACAGACTTTGGGAATGTTGTAGGAGGGACCAGTCCTTAGGAAAAGACATCATGCTGGGAAAGGTGGAAGATCAGACAAAGAGAAGGACCCTCAAAAAGATGGATTGACACAGTGACTCACAGTGGTCTTCACCATGTCCGAGATGGTGAAGATGGTTCAGGATAGGGCATGGTGCGGATCCATTGTTCATAGAGTTGCTGTGAGTTGTAGTTGCTCAGTGACACCTAAAAGCAACTCTCCATGTAATTCTGACTCACTGTGACCTTATAGGAAAGACTGGAATTTTCTTGTTGAGTTTCTGTGGCGTAAATACATACACGAGCTGATAACTTCATCTTTCTACCATAGAGCAACTGGTGGTTTGAACTGCTGACCTTCTCAGCTGCTTTTAATTGTTCTTTCTCTGTGTGTGTGTGTGTGTGTGTGTGTGTGTGTGTGTGTGTGTGTGCGCGCGCGCGCGCGCACGCTTCTAGACTCCTAGCTTCATCTTTGTGATAATTGAGTGGTCAGTGTCTGTCTCCCCTGCTTGACTGCTTGAACAGTCTGAGGACTGGAATGCCTGTCAGCTGTAGGAGCTGATTGTGTTGAATAGATCTTAGGCTCACAAAAGGTTTGATGAATCACTGTTGAAGGTCTGCTTATGGTCATGTCATAAACCGAGGTACTTGGCCCTTCTAGCTATGAAGGACAAGATTCATCTGAACCCTTCTCAAACAGGTTCCTTTTCTTCTGGCACTGGTTATAAATGACTTAAGGTGGCAAAAGCCATCCTTTTAGGCCTGTTTTCCGTTTGGCGTACAGAACAGACATTTCCCTAGTCCCTGTTTACCGTAGGAAAAAATAAATAGATATGACTGTGACTCAGAAAGTTCATCTGTTGTGTAGCCAGGGGACTCAGTGTCACCTCTAAGTCCCAGATCACTTAGCAAACAATACTCTTGGCACTTGGAAGTTGCTAGGAGTATATGGTGGCTAGAAGTGCTGCAGAGACCCCAAGAGGATTTTTGATCTCTTCAAGCACTGATTGGGGCGCTCTGGTGGCCTACTGGTAAGAAGTTGCACTGCAATCCCAAAGGCACGTGGTTCAAATCCTCTATCTCTGAGATATTACTGATCACAAAAGCAACTTCAGTTCTTTTCCCTCACTAAGTCTCCATTTCTCATTTTCAGACTGTAGGGGGTAAGGGAGTGTGTCAAGCCCAACCTCGAGGGTCTCCATCAGTTTGATCTCACTGCTCTTAGGCTCCCTTAAATGTGATAATCTCAGCTCATGGGCTTTGGGAGCAAGGAAGAGAGATCTGCCCACAGAGCTGACTGTAAGGCTGTGAAGTCAGCCAGTTTTGCCTGGCTCATTCCTGTCTCTTATCAGCACTGCCTCTTCCCCTAAGTCAGGCATCCACCTCTTCTCCAAGATCTTGCTCTCAGCCAGGGTGGGAGGTATGGTCAGCAGATAAGGATGGAGGGTAGATATTCTGAGCTTCCTCAGAGCAGGGACCTGGCACAGAGTAAATGCACAAGAAAAGGTTCAAATGAGTAAATGACAGAGTCATAGGGGAATCCTAAGAACCACAGTCTACAGTGTCATAACCAAAGAAAAGTATCTTAAAGGTGTTTGATAGCAGGCCACTGGGTTTTGCCCTCCATAAATCAGGTAAGGCCCATCCTCGCAGAATTCTACTAGACTCACTCAGGGGATTCCAGCAAGACAAGACTTACATATAAAACTCGCTTCAGGCACCTTTACATAGCATGAGCTGCTGTTTCCTCGTCCATTATACACCCATTTCATGAGGTCACAGTGAAAGTAAAGCAAGTATTGTAAAGTTCTTTGCAAACTAGTCAGTCTACATAAATACTAACCAAAGGACTGAAAGATGAGAGGAATTGAAATCATTTCTTGGTAGTGCCACTTCCACAGTTTTAACCAAACTGACTTTTCCCACCCCAGGACAAGAGCGAGACCACCAGTGAAGCCCTGTCCCGAAGGCCCTGTCGCCCCAGGCCTAACTTGCTTCCCTCTAATCTGCCTGAAGAAGAAACACGCAGGATCGCACGGATATTTTCCTCCCAGTACTCTCAGAAAGACTGATGCAGCCTTCTGAGAGACAGAGAAGGACCCACCTGCCAACCATGCTCACTCAACCTTGCCCGATTGTGGGAGGCCCCCAGGGCTGTTGCAACACTGAGACCATCACCCGTCCAGTCCATTGGCAGCTTAAGATCAGTCAGCCCAGACTGGAGGAACTTCACACCCAACCCAGGGTCCACTCACCAAGACTTCAGTTTTTCCGTCAGTGCTGAGGGAATGGTCTGAATATGGGCAGCACTCGGCATTTCTTGCTGGTGCTGGCAATCAGCAAAGTAGAAACAAAATGGATTGCAGCAGCTAGCTGGCCTGCTCATCTTCTGACCAAGCAGACATCTTTCTGTTGAGAAACTGCTCACACTGTCCTTGATGCAACCCACACACTTTCTAAGGATGAGCCATTTTGCCTTAAGGTGGGGGTAGTGGGACAGGTTTGTATATTGTTTGCATCATGCATAGTAGACAAAATCTTAAGGCCACCTCTAGGTCGTTGCTTAAGAATAGAATTTTTATGTGTATAAATTATTTTTATGTTATAATGGATTAATTGGTAGGAGGGAGGTGATACCTCCTTTAACTTTTTATCTGATTGTCTGAAATTCTAACCATGCTTTTAACTTCTTGTTTTTTATCTAGCTTTGAAGATTATTATCCCTGTCTGTGTTTGAATAAAATCATATTAGTGTTTGTACTCTGTGTACAAGTGTTTCCTGGGTTGCCCACTGGGAGTGGGAGTACTAGGACTCATTTCTGTTTCAACTAGAAGTGAGAAACAGGCAGTTCGAATCCACCAGATGCTCCATGCCAGAAGGATGAGCAGTCTCCTCCCAGGTGATTAACTGCCTCTGAAAACCTGCCAGAGGGCTATGGGTCGGTTCCTACTTGATGGTGCACAACAACAACAAGAGAGAAAATGTAATAAGCTTACGTTCTCTCAGAAAGTCTTCTTGGGAGCAGTGGACCAGGATGATCTGAGACCTCTGAGGCCCTCAAAGATCAGGTTGGCCCGGATTGGGCTGACACTCAGCATTTCCTCTGCTGGTGCTGGCAGTCAGCAAATTAGAGAGGACAAGTCTCCTCAGAATCCCCTTCTTGGAGCTGAGAGGCTCTACCTTTAACTGTCAGACCACGAACATTTGATTAGCTGTCTTAGACAAGGACTCGTTCATTCCTAGGAAAGGGTGTTCAGTGTGGTGGGGAGACAGAGTTGGAAAGGAATGAATGTGGGGTGGGGCTCCACTGACCACCCTCAACTGCATGTGATTTTAGTTGGTCCTCAGACCAACACTGTATCCTAGATATGATTCTAATTTGATAGTCAAAAAAACAGAAGCTCAAATAACTAACTTGCCTCTATTTATGTAACTGGAAAGTTAATAACCATACCTCATAGTATCTAGAAATGTTATGAGGCTACTGTGTTCAGTGATCAAAACAAGGCACAGACAGTTAGTGCCCTGAATTCAGGGAAAGGCAGGACCGTATGGACTGGCCAGTCAGGTTTGCTAGAAAAGGCAAGTGTTGGAGTGAGCCCAGAACGTTGGCCCAGGGAGCATTGTGAGGCGTGTGGTCAGCCAATCTGACTTTGCCACCTTCTCGGTACATCCCCTTGGGCTTGACTGTCCCTGAGTCTGAATCTCCACTGAGGGCTTCATCTCTAAAGCAGAGATAATAACTGGCTTCATGGTACTGTGGACATTCAGTGAGATGACATTTGTAAAAGTGCTTTGCCTGCACTTGGCACAGAGTCAAAGGCCTTGGAAATGTCAGCCCTGCCCACACTCTTAGAGATAGGCAAGCACACAGATAACCATAAAACAAGTCCAACAAGTGTCCTCAGTGGGTCAATGTGATACAGGAACCTTACAGTCTGCCCTCCTTATCACCCATGTCCCCTTAGACCTATTCATACCAGTCTTTGCTCTTGCTCATCTGTTCGTCTCAGCCCCTTAGACGTCAGCCTCCTCTCACCCTCCTCCTGGCTCACCTTCCTTTCCCCAGGACCACAGAAGCCAAAAGTCACCAGACCAGAGCTTTCAACAGCCACTTCCTTCCCTCCCATGGGGCCACAGAAGAAACTGCAAAGGGGCAGTTGGGGTCCACACCTGAGAAGCAGAAGGTGAAGAATACTACTTCCAAATCCTGCTCCAGCTCCTTTAAGTAATCCGATCTGGATCTAGTTAGAAGGCCACAGGAGGGCATGGGCCAGCCTGCTGCAGGTGACACAGCCCCAGATGACACGAAGGTTCCCTGAGCGTGTAGAACCCACTTCCTACTGTAAACTTACAGAGTGTATGTTTGCTATACTAGTATTTTATCCCTGGAAGTTGGATATCTTTCCTTGATAGCTCAGAGATGAAATGACTCGCCTAGTCACCGAGTTAAGGGTATGGAGTTTGCTCCTCCCATCACAACTAGCCAGCACCACCTCACTTCCCTTTGAGCACACCTCTGCAAACATCTGAAATAGTGGTTTCTGGTCACCAGAGGAGGCTGATTGCCTCCTAGTGCCCTATAAGCTGGGTTCTGGGAATAGGAAGCCAAAACAGAGCTGGCTCTGCCTTCAGGAAGTTCCAGGCTGCAGTAAGCTGAGCCCTCCCGCGCTCTGTGTCCCTCCAGTTCCCGAAGCTTCCACTTTTCCTGTGACCATAGGGAGAGATTTTTGGTGTAATGAAGTATTCTAACAGAGAAACAGCAGAAGTTAAGACTCAGAGGCCACAAAGCACCTGATGAGCAAGACTTAGTGCCTTGAGTGATGCCGTGGAGCCCTGCCCACCCCAAAATTTACCTCCCGTTTCCAGGCCCATCTGGGCTCCAATGAGTAGGAGAGAAAAGGCCAACCAAAGAAAGATCCCAAAATATGCTCTATTTCCTACCTGCCCAGAGCCACTTGACTCACACAGCTCCTCCACAGAGTAGAGGCACAAGAGCAACCCCAGAGCCAGACGATCAAGGTTTGAATCCTGTCTCCATCACTCAGTAGTTGAGGGCTCTTCAGCTAATGACAGTACCTTCAAGTCTCAGAGTCCACAAAGACCTGTAAAATGTGCCTGTGAGGATCAATAGCCAAGTGCTCTGGTTTTTTACATACAGCTCATTCAGCACCTCACATGTGATGGGGACGTCACGATTTGAATTAATGGCTTTCTCTCTTTCCCCATCGCCATTGATAGGACAAAACCTACGTGCCTAAACCCAGCATTTAGTGTCCCTGTCATTGTGTCTACAAGACAAAACCTTAGCGCCAGCATTTAATGTTCAACTTCCCTTTTGAAAAGGCTTAGATTTGTTGTGTACAAGGTCACTTTTAAGTCAGATTCAATTCAACAGTACCTAAAACAACAACCTCCCCAGACTCAGTCGGTAACATGGAAGCCTGGATTTGTATTTCTAATGCATTCCTAATGATAGCAATGGAATCGCTAAAATGAAGACGTATGTACGACACCCAGCACCTCACATGTGGTAGGAACTCCACAAACAACTTTAATGCTTTCTCTCTTTCCCTGTCACCATCTGTAGGACAAAACTTAGGTGGCTAAACCCAGCATTTAGTGTCCCACTCTGCACAGCCTCCAGACCACCTCCCTCCAGGTAGGTCTGTACCTCGGATGCCTGGTGCTGCCCTTGTCGGTTCCTACTACTTACCCCTCCCTGACATTCACCTGCCCTCCCTCCATAGCCTTATCTTGCCTTTCAGACTAGAATTTCCTGGTTGAGCTCAGAGCTGACAGGAGCCCTCCCAAACTCAGCAGCCCAACAACCTCTCCCCACAGAACACAAGTGTGACCACCTGTTCTGTTGACCTTTAGATGAGGCTTGGCCCCCCCAGCAGCCCAGGCACAACACAGGCTTCACACTTGAGTGACTGACCTTCTGAACACCTGCCCTATGGCCATGGCACCATGCCCAGGTAACTCCCCTCGTGTCTCATCCTCATGCCTCGTCCAGTTAACTCCCTCTCCATCTGCCTTCCCTCTGTCACCTGGGTCCCTGGTTCAGGCATCCTCAGCACCTAAGGTTAAAGCCTACAGCAGCCAGAGCAGGAACCCTGGCCAGCCCTCACATGCCCTCCCTTCGGCTCCAGTTATGTCCACGCAGAAGCCTCCCAAGAGGAGTGTCAGAGTCGTCACAGCAGAGAGGCTCAAAGTAGAACTTATTTTTAAAATTTATTTATACCATCATTAACTTTTCTACAATTATTCCTGTACTTCGTTTCATCCGTTATTCATGTGTATTTTGTTTTACACAATCATTGCGTTTTATATAATTAATTACTGTTGGTCTGTCTGCTCCTTTTAACTTCCCATCAAGTCCCCCTTCCATATATCACTGCTCTCCTAGGCATTTCCTCTTCCTTCTTCCACACCCCTTCTCCTCTTTCTTGGTCCTATTTGCTAGCTGCAAAAGTCATATTGTCTGTATCTCAGTTCTTCCCAAACTGGCCCTCCCTTGTCTTGTTCCTGTATCAGAGTATAATTTACAGGCAGATGGAAGTGAGGCCCTACTGTGCACTAGCGTTAGGGCCTGAATAAGTCATTGTCCCTCCCAGAGGCTTAGTTTTCGCCTCTATAAAATCAGCATTAAAATATTTAGAACCCTTAGCAACCAAAAGGAGTAAAGTGCTACTGTATGGATGAATCTTGAAAACAATATGTTAAGTGAGAAAAAGTCACAAAAGATCACATACTCTGTGTGGCACTTATATGAATTATCCAGAATAGATAAATCTAGAGACAGAACATAAATTAGTGGTTGCCAGAGAGGGTGGGTTGTAGGAGGAAAAGGAACTGGCTGCTAAGGGGTCTGAGATTTGGGAGTGATGAAAATGCTCTCAAGTTGATTGTGATCATGGTTGCATAACCCTGAATAGATTGCAAAGGGGAGAAAAAAAAAAACCAAAGAAACACCACGCTGAATTGTATGTTTAAATAGGTGAGTTATATCTCAATCAAGTTTTTTACTTTTTTTAAATTAGTGTATTCATTCTGCAATCAGGATGA